GCCCGCTGCTCCCCTCAGCAGTGTACTTCGTTGATCTGCCTGTTCTGCTCCCCACTCTGTCTTTGGTGAATCCTTTCACTAACCCTGCCCCTCTGTACCCCAGTTCTGTATGCACAAATAAATAAATCTTTTTCAAAAAGTGCAATTTAAAAGCCTAATTTGGAAAAATGGTTAACTTTATCAATGTGTGCACTGGCAAGTGCTGCAAAATAATTTAAAATGTATAAATATGATTAGTCATGAGACATGATTTTTCCTACCTTTTGTGGTGACTCCATTCTTTGTCCAGACAAGTTATAAACATCAGGAGCCAAGAGTAAGCTAAAACTTCCTTTAATTCCAGACCATGCTATAATAATTGCCCATTTCCAATTGTATGCATAACTGGAATGCATCAGAATAGGGCTCACTAACACAACAGTACACAACCTGTGGAGAATCATTTTTTTTTTTTAATCATCCCTTCGGTATTAGTACTAGTCATGGTTGAAATAGTGTAATAGATACTAAATTTCATGTGAAAATTTTCAGGAAAGAGAAGACAATCTAGTTTATTGATAGTTCAAACATTCTGGAACTTAACAAATCTACTGTCTGAATTTTGCATAAATTATTCAAACCTTGAAATATATACTAGAAATTCTGCACAGACATAAGGAATTATCATTAACACCAGTGTATACTATTTAGATTTGGATAGTAAATTCTTTCAGGGGCACTTCTTCAAATAACACTGACTAGGTCATGTATTCCCTGCAAGAATACATTCAGAAATTTGGTAGGGAAGTCATGTAGGTAATGGTCAAAAAGTTAAATTATTGCAGATACAGTAATAAATTTAGTTCAACCAAATTTCTCTTGAAATCCCGTAAGAATCATTCACTGGGTCCTCTGTGGTGGCATGTTTTTAAAGCGCTGCAAAGCTAGACATAATCGCTTCAGCGCAAGTTCAATCCCTGGCCAGGGACCTCACCCACATGGCATGGCAGACCTCTCCTCCTGTCCGGCTCGCTGCTCCCCTCAGCATTGTACTTCGTCAGTCGGCCTGTTCTGCTCCCCACTCTGTCTCTGGTGAATCCTCTCCCCGCCCCTGTATCTCTGGCCCATACCCCAGTTCTGTATGCATAAATAAATAAATCTTAAAAAAAAAATTTATAAAACTGGGAAGCTACATGCAAAAAAATGAAACTAGATCACTGCCTCACTCCAGTCACAAAAATCAACTCGAAGTGGATTAAAGACCTAGAC